AAGAGGACATCGACATGTTTTTTGCTTCATGGCCAAGTGATTTCTTTAACCAGGGCATTAACAACCTGAATGTAAGATGGAAAAGCATCATCGATAACAATGGGGACTATTTCATTTAATAAATGTTTTGTTTTGATATATAAGTTGTTCGGGTTTTTCCATCTGAAAAAAAGCGACGTTAATTTCTTGACGACCTAATATATTTACTGTACTAATATTTAAAAACATTGTTAGTCATGTATTTCTAACATGACTAACATAACATTAAAGGATAGCAAGAAACCTTTTGGTCCATCTATGCCGTCCTATCGACTAAATTAAACTAAATACCAAAAAACTCAAAGCTACCGCTTATCATTGAAATGTTTAATAATTTTTTCCTTAAACTAATTGTATCTACTAAAACTGAAGGTAATCCGTCCCAAAGACCAATCATCCTTTAAAAAAACGAATTCTTAGCTAAAGGTCAGTCCTAACCTACCACAATTTATATTTGTGTCCACTAGTTTTATCATTCTCAACATTAAATACGAAAAAAAAGACGTTTCATCAACAACATCAATTTCCTTAGCATTCTTAAACACCTCAATTAGATCGTCTCTAGCTCTTATTTTTTTCCAAAAAAAAAAAAACGAGTTTAAAGATGTTAACCTATTTTCTTATGACAACCTTTCCATCCCGGCTGTCATCCTAATAGCTCTCTTCAGAATTGTTTCAAACAATTTAATGTCCTTCCTATGGTAAGGAGCTTAAAAACTGATCACAATACTCCAAATGTGACCTAGCCATTGACCTATACAATGGTATAATAACCTCTTTAGACTTGTATCCAATATTTCTGTAGATACAACCTAAAACCCTGTATAGTTATATTTCGAAAGCTTGTTAGTCATGCTTCTTTACTGTATTAATGTTAAGAAAGCTTCTCAGTCATGCGTCTTTACTGTATTAATGTTAAGAAAGCTTCTCAGTCATGCGTCTTTACAGTATTAATATATAGCTAACTTTTTATTCATATGTCTTTACTGCATTAATATTTAGCAAGCTTATTAGTCATGTATATTACTTTGCATTAATATTTAAAACCCTTGTTCTGAATGTGTCTTTATGTATTAGTATTTAAAAGAAAAACTTGTAAGTCACGTTTCTTTGTCTTGTTAATATTTAAAAAACTTGAAAGACATGTATCTTTACCATATGTTTAAAATTCTTGTTGGTCATATTTCTCAACTGTATAGTAATATTTCGAAAGGTTGTTAATTATATGTATTTGCTATGTTAATATTTAGCAAGATTGTGCCGTTACCGTATTGATATTTAGTAAGATTGTTAGAAATCTGCCGTTACCGTATTGATATTTAGTAAGATTGTTAGAAGTGTGCCGTTACCGTATTGATATTTAGTAAGATTGTTAGAAATGTGCCGTTACCGTATTGATATTTAGTAAGATTGTTAGAAATGTGCCGTTACCGTATTGATATTTAGTAAGACTGCTAGAAATGTGCCGTTACCGTATTAATATTTAGCATGACTGTTAGAAATGTGTCTTTACTGCATTAATGTTTAGCAAGATTGTTAAAAACTTGTCTTTGTTGTATTAATATTAACAAGACTGCTTGAAGTGTGTCTTTAAATTATTAATATTTAGAAAGCTTTTACAGCTTTTAAA